AGATTTACAATAGAAAGCTGCCACTCGTTAGCAAATCAGAATATTTCATAATAATCAGTGATTACAATAATTCATAATATTTGAAATATTAACTAGTTATCCTTTAATACAATATTCAAAATATCAAGTACTCATCCATATTACAATACAGAAGGTGCCAATATTGGCTACAATAGATTTACAATATTAATTAGCAATTCACAATATTAGATCAGAAATTAGTTATAGCGGCTTTATTGCCGATTAAGATGCCACTTTATCGGCTAACACTGACTGCATATAATGATACTTTAACTCGACCGACTCTGAATATTTCTCCTTCCGCCCTTCTTTTAAAGCGTCGTTTCTTTCTTTATTTCTCACATTCCTGAAAGATCATATTCGTAGATAAGGTCTTATGATAGCATTCATAGCTTTTCAAACAATGTCTTTCTTTTGACTATAATCATGCATTTTAGCTGAATATGCGACAATGTGCAACAAATATATATGTAACAAATATGCAACAAATATGTTACCATTCCAGATGTTTATTCTTTATGTTTTGACTTGACGATTTCATAGAATCGATGTTTTGGGAATTTGGAATGTGCAATGTTTACACTGACAAAAGAATATGGGGCTTCGGCAAATAAATTGCTTCGAGAATTTACACGCTGATCATTGTGTGACTGACAATGAAAACAAGCGAATAAACAATGAGCTCATTTGATAGATTGATGAGCATTGGTCGTTACTTTTCCTAGTTAACTGCCACATACTTATCATTGTTTTCATGTTTTCTGGTTAAGTTCTTCGTTTTTAAACGATCAAGAACCAAGAAGCGACGATGCTGAATATTTACGAATCATGCTGCTCGCTTTTCCATGGCACATGTGATTTGTCAACATCAAGTACTCTTTCATGCATTTGTTCACTGCAAAATAAACGAGCAAAACATACAACAACAACAACCATATGATCACAATCAATCAACAAGAGAATCAACAGCAAAGTCGATGATGCTTTTTCCGTTTTGACAATTACCGAATTTTGTTGCGTGTTCAAGTTCGGTTGAGTGTTCATCAAATTTTCCGCTATACAATCACTACAAATTTTCATCAACATTCTATACTTTCGAGCAATTTATGCTCACCGAACAAATTCATCGCTGACACTTGTAATTTGTTTGCATCGCTGTAGTTCACTAAACCAATTTAAAGTAATCATTGCGTATTAGGCAATTAGTGCTAAACATGAAAATTTCAGCGGTAATTGGCGAGCAATAGCTCAGTAAAATACACGCATGCAATACACACACTAAATCGATGGAAATTTTGCATGAAACGAAATAAATTTAAAAATGTATTAACTGAATACAGCTAATTGAGTGTCTATAATGAATGGAAATAAGCGAAAGCGTCTTGCAGATTACTAAGTAATCAGCAGCAATTAGTGATTAACAGCAGCAAAATGCTGTGGTTATCTTGATATCCTGTAAAATTCCTGAATTATGGATAACTTTCTATTCTGAGCGATTCCACCGTTCGCTAATTCTCCTCTTTATCCCCCCATCTTTGATTGATTTGTTGATGGCATTTACTCAAGCAGGCAGGGATTCACGCACGCTCATAAAATCTTCATTCTGTTCTTTTTAGAGTTCTTCACAGGTATTGAAAACTTTCAAAT